CCAAAGAGGTTCTGGCAAACTGTCCGGCGCCTCAGGAGAGGAAGGCAGCAACTCGCTCACACTGTTTACAGTGGGGATGGGGAGCTGCTGACGTCAACTGAGGCTATAGTCGGACGGTGGAAGGAATACTTTGAGGAGCTCCTCAATCCCACCAATGCGCATTCCGAGGAGGAACCAGAGCTGGGAGGCCTGGGGATGGACTGTCCGATCTCGGGGGCAGAAGTTGCTGAGGTAGTCAAACAACTACACAGCGGCGGAGCCCCAGGGGCGGATGAGGTTCGTCCTGGGTATCTCAAGGCTATGGATGTTGTAGGGCTGTCATGGTTGACACGTCTCTACAACATTGCGTGGTCATCGGGGGCAGTTCCTAGGGAGTGGCAGACCGGGGTGGTGGTCCCCATCTTTAAGAAGGGTGACCTGAGGGTGTGTTCCAACTATAGGGGGATCACACTCCTCAGCCTCCCTCGAAAGGTCTACGCCAAGGTACTGGAGAGGAGGGTCAGATCGATAGTTGAATCTCAGATAGAGGAGGAGCAATGTGGTTTTCGTCCTGGCCGTGGAACTGTGGACCAGCTCTATACCCTTGCAAGGGTGATGGAGGGGGCATGGGAGTTTGCCCAACCAATCCACATGTGCTTTGTGGATTTGGAGAAGGCTTATGACCGTGTCCCCAGGGGCACCCTGTGGGGGACGCTCCAGGAGTATGGGGTGGGTGGCTTTCTGTTAAGGGCCATTCAGTCCCTTTACCAGAGGAGCGTGAGTTTGGTCCGCATAGCCGGTAGTAAGTCGGACCTGTTCCCAGTGAGGGTTGGACTCTGCCAGGGCTGCCCTTTGTCACCGGTTCTGTTCATCACTTTTATGGACAGAATTTCTAGACGCAGCCGTGGTGTGGAGTGTGTCGAGTTTGGTGGCAGGAGAATCTCGTCTCTGCTTTTTGCGGATGATGTGGTCCTCCTAGCTTCATCCAGCTCTGACCTTCAGCTCTTGCTGGGTAGGTTCGCGGCCGAATGTGAAGCGGCTGGGATGAGGATCAGCACCTCCAAATCTGAGACCATGGTTCTCGACCGGAAAAGGGTGGCTTGCCACCTCCGGGTCGGGGGAGAGGTCCTACCTCAAGTGGAGGAGTTTAAGTATCTTGGGGTCTTGTTCACGAGTGAGGGTAGGAGGGATCGGGAGATCGACAGGCGGATTGGTTCGGCGTCTGCAGTGATGCGGACGCTGAGCCGATCTGTTGTGGGGAAGAGGGAGCTGAGCCAGAAAGCCAGGCTCTCGATTTACCGGTCGATCTACGTCCCAATCCTCACCTATGGTCATGAGCTTTGGGTAATGACCGAAAGAACGAGATCGCGGATACAAGCGGCCGAAATGAGTTTCCTCCGTAGGGTGGCCGGGCTCAGCCTTAGAGATAGGGTGAGGAGCTCGGACATTCGGGAGGGACTCGGAGTAGAACCGCTGCTCCTCCGGATCGAAAGGAGCCAGTTGAGGTGGTTTGGGCATCTGGTCAGGATGCCTCCTGGACGCCTCCCCGGGGAGGTGTTTCGGGCATGTCCTGCCGGCAGAAGGCCCCCGGGTCGACCCAGGACACGTTGGAGAGGTTACATCTCCAATATGGTCCGGGAACGCCTTGGGGTCCTGCCGGAGGAGCTGGTGGACAAGGCCGGGGAGAGGACGGCCTGGAGCTCCCTAATTGGGATGCTGCCCCCGCGACCCGGACCCGGATAAGCGGAGGAAGACGAAGACGAAGACGAAAAATCAACTTCCTCCCATATGATAGAACGAGAAAACAAGACTGATTAGATGACTGTTTTTGGTAGGCTGGAGAGATTTAAGGAGGAATGTTGGCACTAAACTTGCTGCACTTGTTTTGGGAAGCTCTTGCTTTGTGTGTGTGTGTGTGTGTGTGTGTGTGTGTGTGTGTGTGTGTGTGTGTGTGTGTGTGTGTGTGTGTGTGTGAGTGCGTGCGTGCGTGTGTGTGTTTGTGTGTGTGTGTGTGTGTGTGTGTGTCCTGTTAATGACAGCTCTCAGAGATCCCCCACAGCTTCAGATCCACGTTTTTATTCCCTTGTGGAGAGACGTCAGCCTACAGATGCTGCCCTTTTCTTGTGCTCTGAAATCATCAGGATGCTTGTGCATTAAGTATATGTGCAAATCCTCAACAACTAACATGTGTCCTGTTTTTATCTTGTGTGCCTTTTTGTTTGCACAAGCATCCTCGCAGGTTGGTCTCTGTATGTGGTACCTTCTAATTGGGGATCCGCTGCAGCTGTCTTATTTTCAACAATTTCCTCGTTTCTGTGCCTCTCTGCCAGTTAGACTCAAACAGACAGAGGGAGGACAGAAAGAGAGTAAGTCTTTAAATTAATGTCTCATATGTAGTTTAATGTCTTCAGGTGCTTTAAAGAAATGAAACCTTGAACCGATTCCAGAGCGAAAAGGCAATTTACTATGAATTTTAGATGATGGCTTAATTTCAGTTAGTTTTATCAGGTAAAAGGACTTTCTATAAAATTTAAATCATAAACTCTGAGGAATGCTAAGGAGGTATTACAACAGCAACACGTTCATGCTTACAGTAAAGTAAATAATCTGATTTTTGTACAATGCAGCTGAACAATAGCTGTCAGTCATTTCTAAAATTGTTTTGCAAAAGCGCTCTCTTTTAGTGTCTTTGAAAAGCAGGGAAGGTTTTTCTTATTTTTTGTTTGTCTGGTGTTTGATGATCTGACAAGCGCTTGTGATGTTGTAGCTGACAATTTTGCCTGAGTTGTTTGGATTTATTCACAAGCAAGTTAAAAGAGCAAACATCCACTGGAGAATGTAAAGGATTGAACAAACAATCATCTTTGTTACATTAGAATGTAGAAAACAGGGATTCTGGAGCAAAAATGATCATTTTACCATCACTCTGCACCATGAATATTATTATTGTTTAATATCTGCATGCTTGTACTACATGGAGTAAATGGGATGCTTGTTTTACAAGAAGCAGGCTGCTTCGCAGGAAAAGGACATAACTGGTGGTCCTCTTCAAAGCATCACTGTAATTGCTTTTTTCTATGAAATCACAAGAAATGCCCATTAGCTGTTACCTAAACACCTAGATGGAGATGGGCAAAAGGAGTCAGAGACAAGTTTGCATGTGAGGGAGAGAGACAACAAGTGTGAGTAAAAGCTGGTGAGTGTGAGCGAAATGTCTCTTGTGCTTCACTTTAGATTCTGCTCACGTTCCACTCTGTCCCCAGACGTTAAAAGTGTGTCCATAGTTTTGGCGACCGGGGGAGTGATTGGAAATGTCAGTTGACAACGGCACTTTTCACTGACACTCTGAGAACTGGCTCAGAGACAGAGGACGGGTGGGGGTGGGGGGTTGGGAGAGAAGGATGGAAGGGGCGGATATGAACTTAAACAAGGAACGCTTGATAACAATACGGATGACACTGAGTTAAATTTGTGTTATTTACTGTACCAGCGTGCATGAATGACATATCTGTGTGTGAGTTTCTGAATGCATATGCAAACATGACAAGTCAGTAGGTGACAAGAAACTGACTGTCTCCAAACGCTGGAGAGGGTTGGATCCCTAATGCTGTGTATGATTCCCAATGGCAGCCACTGGCTACTATTTCCCCTGCTGACCTTTCTGAAATGTTACTGGCCACTTGTCACGCTGACTGGGTCCCTAATGAAACTTTTATTGGCCCCCATTTTTTACCCTCTTTCTCCAGAACGCCTCCAGGGCTACACCAACATCCAACTGCAGCCGATACAGGTGGATGATGTGTCCATATATCCATCGTCACATTTTGGTTTTCGCTGAATTCTCTTTATTTTTATCATTTTCATCAATGAAGGGTCAATGGATAAATTTAGCACCAATAGAACTAAATACATCTAATAGTTTTCTTATGGAGACTATCCTAGCTTCTTTTATTTTTCTGGTGAGATGCAGGAACCAATGTAGGCTCAATACAACAGAGTTAATTTAGAGTAATTATTTTGAGACTGTGGGAGATACAATTCCTAAAAGTGTTCAACATCTTAGTATCTTAGTCTCAATACAAAAATTACAGACTTTTTGTGTCAGACAGTGCAGGGGCTTGAGAAGATTGTGAGAATATGCACTATTTGAGTAGGAATAAGACTGACTAGGTATATATAACATGTTTTTAATACATTTTAAATATGGCCAAGTCATTTGGGACATGAGATTGTTGCAAATAATTATGCAAATTAAGTTGGGATGCCTAGCAATCTTTATTAATTCTTCAATATTTATTTACCATCATCAACTTGACTTTTATTGCTCATTTAAAGACGCAACACATTTAAAGCCATGGTTGTGGTTCGAAATTTTAGAAGAAAAATGTTTCAGTAACATGAAACCAAAAGTAAAATATACATTTTTGTGTAAAAGCTATTTAACACAGTTACTTGTGGTTGACGAGAATAGTTTTGGGAATAATGCTGATGCGAGGACAGCAGGCCTGTAGGTGTGGATGCTAACTTTAAATCTCTTTGCGGAAGATTATTAAAGAGCTTTGCTAAGCAGTGTAAAAACAGTCAGTGTTTCATCAGAAGAACTTGTGTGTTATTATTTCTTTATTATCATTATTATACATTTCTCTTATTTTGCTAAATAATTGTATCACTTGCATTACTGAAGAAACACCAAGGAAATCTAAGGGGTTTAAGCGATCTGCTGGTAGACAGCGGGATTTGTTTGTCTGCTCTCATGTGAGTATGTGGCGCAGAGCAGGAGAAAGAGGAAGGGTTAGGCTCATGCGGGCTGTTTTTTGTCCTTGTGAGGAAGCAGCAGAGAGGAACTCACGGGTCAAGAGTGAACCGCTGAAGCTCATTAGAACCTGCTGTTGGACTCAGCGCTAATTACTGCAGACAAAACTGAACTGAGTGGTAATTCAGTTACATTGCCAGGTGCTGGGTAATATATCTACAGAGCAAAAAGATTTAAATAGAATAGAATAGAATAGAATAGAACTCACGGTTGGCAAAGTTTGATGAGGTCCTGGTCTGTGGTGGCAGGGGGCAGGCCTCTGATATACAGGTTGGTCTTACTCAGTTGCTCCATCAGCCCTCCTCCCTGACCTCCACCTCCTGTTGTACCAGGACTGGGAGGGGCCACGGGCAGAGAGGGAGGAGCATAGGACTGCTGCAGGGACCAAAAACGAGAGAGGAAAACAAACAGCAATAATTGTCAGTTTGAATTTTTGATCAATCAGATTTTTGTCTAATGAAAACTGCATTTATTTTGGGGAAAATGTCAGTTATGTGAGTTTTCCTCATCAATCTACCCAATTAAAAATGTCTCCTAGCCACCAAACTCACATCCTGCTGAGCTGTTTTCTTCCTCATATCATTCCCTTGATTCAGCAGGAAACACATCAAATTAAGGAAGCAGGATATGAACAGATTAGATTAGCAGCATTTGATGATTATGGCATCAAGGCTTTCTGATGAAATTTGCATGAATAACATCTAAAGAAATGTCACACACAAGGCACGTACATGCTCTGACATAATGGCAGGAATCATTTATTCACATTTAGAATGTATTTTTAATTTGAAATGCCATACTTTTTTTGACCAGTTAGTTAAAATTTTAACATCCATACACTTTATAAGTGTTTGTGGATGCAGTTGCACATTAAAAACTGGAAAGAATATAACAAAGAATCTGGTGGCTTTGACTTGTTCTAAGAATTAAGCAAACATGAATAAAACGGTCATGAACCAAACAGCTCTGAAGTCAGAAATTTCATACATTTTAACACATTCATTCTGCTGTGGGTCTGTAAAGCAGTTTAATCCTAGCCTGACTACTTCATTACACTTTAACTTGCTAAAACATCTCTTATTGGCCTCCACCGTTCAATTACACAATTCAGTACTGACTAAATGACTTAATAAGATGACCGGCTCCAGCAGGGAGGAAGTGGAGTGTGAAGATTAATGAGTTTCTGGAAATGATGGAACAACAACCCTAATTTTTGCCCAAGTTTAAACGTAAAGTTAGGTTTGAAGAAAATACAGAACACAACAGCAATAAAAACTGTTTGGAGTTGAACATTTTCTTTTCTTGAAAGAGACATTTTGTCTCAGCATAGGTGTGAAAGTGGGTGGAGCAAGTGGAAACAAAGTGAGACAAGATGCAAACAAGGAAACAGACAAGTGAGACAAAAAGAGTGCCTTTGCTAGAATCCTCTAAAAGTGTCTCTGAAAGCGTGTGTGAATGTGAGCGAGCTTGTGCATGTGAGAGCCGGTGTTTGTGATAATGGCAGGCTGTCACTGCAGAGCAACACGCAGGCTGAGTCAGCTCTGATATTAATCCATTACCTGCATGTTCCTCAACCGGCACTCACTTTCCCCACACACTAACACATAAGCTCAGAGAGGCAGTGTTAACAGAATTCAACACATGTGCAACAGGGGTGTAGCAGTAAATGAAAGCAATGCCTTTCAAGCCTCTACTTCTTACTGTTGTCCTAAAAAAGGAGATAAAACTTTTAGGAAAGTGAGATAAAACCATTCATGCCACACTTGTATGCTGATGTCATTTTATGTTGATAAGTAGTAGACATAGCCTTCTTGCTCCAGTCCTGAAAATAACATTGCAGATAATCTCACACAATCTCACAAAATATTGCAGGATGTCTTGCAAGCTGTTGGCATTCAAAGTCCGGGATGCCTTTTTTCACGGTTTTCTAATTGTTGAGAGGATTTTCTAAGGATGAAGGGAAAAGAAACACGGCAATAAAAAAAAAACAGGACACACTAACATGGTGTGATGGTGTGACAATATGGCAAATACTACACTCTCCACAAGAACCACTTTCACTAATAGACGTTTCCCAGTTAGTTGAAGAATCATGGGAGATCAAAAGTCACTATGGAGGACCTTGACCGTCATCTCATTTCCTGAGTGGCTACACTTGTTTGATCCATGAAAATCAGACCAAAACAATCCAACATGGTTGAAAGCCCAAATTTATTACTGGAGTGGTTGTAACATTCTTCCACACCACACATGGTAAGAATTTTGGATAAGATTATCTTTGCAGCCATTACAGTGATCAGGTGGATGCTTAAGATTGTTGGACTGGGAGGATCGGGTCCAAAAGCAGCACAATTTGGGCTCAAGCTGATTAAGACTAGGCTGACTCAAATATTATCATTAGTAGATGTGTGTACTATGGTTATTTAATTTTCTCACAGTTTCATTACAATAAATTTGTGTGGCAAAAAGCTTTTTTCAACAGTCAATAAACCAGCACAATTGATGTAAAATGTCACACAAAGATATAACCACATACCAATTTGAACACACACTGATAGTATTAACATATACACACACACACACACACACACACACACACACACACACACACACACACACACACACACCTGATCAAAGGCCTTGACATGGGAACTTCTTTCAGACAATTTGTGCAGCTGTCGGGTCGGGCTGATGGTGAGGCGTGTGAGTAACGTGTCAGAGGTTGTGATATAGGAAATCCTTTGAAACATTGAAATCCCTCTCTTCCAAGCATCCACACCTTCTCCTGTCTTCCTCTACTGTCATCCACCTGTCGGTTCTAACACCCATGTTGCTCAGTCCCTTGCTCTTTTCACCTTTGCTCATCTAGTTTCAACATATCATCTCTATATATCTGACCTCCTTCTCATTCCCGCTCCTTTTCCAGCTTTCTCTCCTTCGTATTTAAGGATTAGTTTGCAGTCTCGTGTGTGGACTGAAGGCTGCCTCTCAGCTGGTGTTGTTGACACACTTAGTACAGCAGAGCAGCTCTTGCAGAGAGGGAGAGAGAGAGTGGGACATACAAGGCTGAGAGGCACCAACACAGACTGTCACACAAAGCAAACACAGTTACAGGGATGCTGGCTTTCATGCATGACTGAGCCATGAAGAGGTAACGCTCCACAACACAACGCTCTACTGTGTCATGTATCTGCATGCTGTTGACTACCCAGTGAGCACAAGATGGGACTCTTCTAGTGCCACGAGGAGTCCCATTTATTGCAGTTATTTATTCTACACACTTAGAAATACACAATAGAAATGCACTTTTTTAATACCTTCTGTTTGCATAAAATTGCATCAAATGCAATGATAAAAATTTCAAATGTACCGCTTGCATTATGTTGATAAACAAAGACAAGACTGGAGTTATTGTCTTTGGAAATCAGAAGGACAGGATGGAGGTTACTACTCAGCTTGGCTCCAGAGGAATAAAGACAAAGACCCAGGTTAGAAATCTTGGTGTGAGAATTGATGCAGACCTGAGCTTCACTGGTCACATTAAGGCTATAACTACAGTAGATCAACGTTTTATCATCTGCATCAAATAGCAAGACTCAGGGGTTTCATGTCCAGACAAGACCTAGAGAAACTCATTCATGTGTTCATCTCCAGCAGGCTGGACTGTTGCAATTGTCTTTTTACTGGTCTTCCCAAAAAAGCTGTGAAGCAACTGCAGCTTATTCAGAATCCTGCTGCTAGAGTTTTAACAAGAACCAAGAGAAGTGAACATCACTCCTGATCTTAAATCTCTACACTGGTAACCAGTAAACTACATAATTGATTTCAAAGTACTTCTAGTTTATAAATCACTCGATGGCATGGGGCCAGAATACATGTTTGATCTCCTTCCTGTACACACATTCGACAGGACTCTGAGATCTTTAGGAAACGGTCAGCTGGTAGAAACCCGGGTCAGAACCAAAACAGGGTGAAGCTGCTTTTAGCTACTATGCTGCACACAGATGGTATCAGCTTTCTCATGACCTCAAAATGACCTCAAATGTGCTCCAACTCTAGAAAACATTTCTCCAGTGCTGGCTTCTCTTCACTGGCTCCCAGTATCACACTGGGCACAGTTTTAAATTTGGCTTTTTGTGTTAAAGTTTTTCCATGGCAGTGCCCCCACCTACTCAGCGGAGCTCTTAATAAAGCATGTTCCATCAAGGTCATCACGGTAGGCAGACACGAAATTGCTTGTCGCCCCTCGCATCCGATTTAAGACTCGTGGTGATCGGGCTTTTCAAGTCCTTGCACCCTCTCTCTGGAACCAGCTCCTGCTCACAATCAAACAGTCCCCATCTCTGGCAGTCTTTAAGAGCAGGTTGAAGACTCATTTTTATAGGATGGCTCTCTCCTAAAGCTTTTGGTTTCATGTTTTTATTTTTTTATTCTTAGCTTTCTTTTAATAAATTTTAATTTTCTTTTATCTAAATTTTATTTCATTAGCATTTTATAGTTCTCACAAATGTCTATGTTTTTATTTAGTTTTTAATGTTTTTATGACTTGCTACTTTTGTCTGTGTTCCTTTTTTTGTCCATAATTAGTGTGTATTTTAATTATTCTGTCATGTTGATGTTAATGCACTTGCTATTCTTGCTAATTGGAAAGCACATTGAATTGCCTCCATCTATGAAATGTGCATTATAAATAAAGCTGTAATTTAAAACGTTAGTATCAAAACCCCAATATGTTTCTAACATTTGTATTTCAATTTTATGATATGAATTATCGAATTTTGCTGCTTTAAAGCTGGTAGAAAGGATGGTTGGTTAAAAATATATTTAATCTCCAGTGTTTTTAAAGCCAGTATCAAGCTATTGGCGTCAATGAGTTGAGGAAGGTTACATACTTGACAAGTGCACAGTCCATCACAGGACTGGTGTTGCACATAAAGACACTTAATGAGTCATGGACTCCTAATGGACTCTTTCTTCATTTTAATGGCACTCGTATCTCAGTGGTGAAGTAAGTTTGTGTTGGATGATACAAAAATAAAACTTTACTTTCTGTTATGGTTGAGGTTTATCTTAGAGCCACAAGTGGCACAGCCACGTTCGTCCATCTGTCTGCATGAAAGACCTGAGGCTAAGTGGCACGCTGAGTACTACAGTGGTTAGTTTGAGTACTTCTGAGATACTCTGTGTCACTGCAGGACCTTGTGGAACGTGGCGATCACAGTAACTTGGTTCTGGATCACATTGCCATTAGTCACAGAAAATAAATATAAATATGTTAAAGCTGCTCCATTGGGTGGGTTAACTCAGTTGTGATTCTACTGATGTAACTTAGTTTGTTTGTTCCAACTTTTAACAGTTTCTTACTGAACCCCTTT